TCGCTTTTGTTTAAGTGCACCCCTGTATCCTCACTTGTGTTCGCACCTGGGTCCTCAACACACTCTCCACACGGTCTGCCACTGCGACCGTGACACATTTTTTGTTTCTCTCCAATATCCTATCCAGTAATTTCGGTCAGTATCGGACCGATACCAATACGTAATATCGGACGGATACCGATGTAATATCGGATCGGCCCATCTCTAATAGAGACACGCTTGAAAGCTTTTGCTGTTGAAGTAGAGTGGACCAAAAAGTTGACACAACATGCAGAGAGTCTTTTTCCTTTTTCTGAGAAAGACTGCCTGTGAGCTCACCTTTCACGTAGCCATGCTTCATACAGTTCTAGGGTAATGCGCACAGGGCAGGGTGAAATAAACTAGAGTTAGAATAAATTAATGGTGAAAGTGTTGAACTAATTTTCATTGATAATTTCTGTTAGCATCTGTTAGCAGGTTTAAAGACAGGCAGGCTGATCACACAGCTTTAATGTGAAGCCTGGATTGGAGCCCTGTACTGGAGATGCCAGGGCACCAGTTGTCATCAATATCATAATCACCATCATCTCTGAAGATATCGATGACCATTACTATCAAAATGATTAGTGTCATCATCATCATCATCCTTCACCAGTGGAGCTGTTTACCTGTGGAACATCCTTGATGTCGTTAAAGTCGAGATTCAGTAACTCCAACCTGAAATCAAATCAAATACAAATGTGATACACACACGCCACTCCAGTGGGGCGGAGTTACGTGGATTTGGTTACCTGGTGATGTGGTTACCTGGTGAGGCAGCAGAGGGCCTTGGGCAATGAGTGGATGCTGTTTCCCTCCACAATGAGAATTCTGAGCTCCACCAGAGCCTGAATGTTCTCTGCCAGGTTCTCTAGACGGTTAAAGGCCAAGTGAAGGAACACCTGGGGATTTTAAACATATTAGCTAATCCTCTCTGAATCTTCTACAGGTAATTGTACTGAATAACCAGACTACTTATTCCAGAGTTTAGCACACGTAAACATACACAGTATTTCGAATTTGTGATATTAGCCCCACATGAACATACCAGAGCCTTCATGTTGTAGACACAGCCCGGGATGTGAGTGATGAGGTTGTGACTGAGGTTGAGCTTCCTCAATTGGGTCAGATTAGAGAGAGAAGCCGGCAGCGATGACAGCTGGTTGTTGGCTAAACTCAGCACCTAGAACAGGTGGTTTAGACAACCACATATATTACTCCTGTTTTCCACTGCAAATCCAGTAAACCTCAGAATAAGTGGATCAAAAATACCGTTCTCTTATTTTTAGGTGTATCCAAAATCTTGTGTTGCACTGTTTAGCTCCAAACCAAAAGCAAAGCAAACTTTGTGCTATTTTAAGGGAAAAGACTTACTGGAAAATATAGTGTAATCCTCACTTTAAATATCTTTGTGACAAAACTTTGTTCTAAAAATAATCATTAAAATTTTGAACATAAGAGCTTCATCTAAAGGTCTGAAATTGTATTTAAGCTCTAATTCAAGGCAGTAAATGAATTCAGCTCATGCATAAGTTCAATAAGGAAGATCTGTAATCACTCATCTGCTTGTTTTTACATGACTACCGCTTTCCCACACTGTCAATACTGACATCATTATTCTAATCCAATCATCTTCTCGCCCGCCTTCTTTGAGCCAATCAGCTTCTCGTAGTTTAAATCTGTGCTCGCTGTGATTCTTCCTTTCAGACTCTCTTCCGAGCATCCCACCTTCCTCCCATATCCACCTCAGATACCTCAGTCTTCATCTTCACCACCAGTATATAGACTCCTGTTCTAAATCCTCTCATCGCTGCGATTCAGTTTTGCTATGATGGGTCATCAGAGCCTAATTGCCAAATACATACATTTCTCTATCTCAATAGAACATGTTCAATTCTTCCAAGTGATTTCTCCTTATTGAAATACAATAACAAAATTATCAAATTTGATTCAATAGATTCCGTGCTGGCACAATACCCTGACCAGGTTTTTAAGCCAGGATCAGAGCTTACTGCTACATTCCTTTGATAGTTAAGGACCTTTAACTGACAATCATCTGTTCTGTTGTTTCCTAAAGGTCTCTTTATTCTTTTGTATTCAGTGGCATTGTTTCTGTTTATGCCATGGTTTCGGACATATTGGGTTTGTTTTGTTTTTAATTTCCTTTCTTCTTTATTAAGGATGAAACCATCTAGGTCAGGAGGAGTTCAGGACCAGCAGGATGGTAAGCATGCAGGAGCAGAGTGGCATGGACAAAATGAGAAAGAGCAAGAAGCTGAGATGATAGCTGGCACTTCAGCACATTCATTTCATGTGCCAAGCTGCATATGATGTGCTACCCAGTCCAGCAAATCTGCACATCTGTGACAAGAGTGAGCACCAACATGTCTTCTATGCCCAAAGGAGAATATCCTAAAAAGCCTTTTAGGAGGGCCACTGCCTCTGGCCAATGCCAGGACCAGTTGCTGAAGTGTGTGGTAAATGCCTTTTCAGTGCAGATCTGCAGCCAAAGGAAAATCTCCTTTGTTAGGGCTGGAGAGAAGCCTCAGTTAAACTCTTGACCATAGGGGATGAACTCCAGTCCTCGAGAGCCAGTATCCTGAAACTTTTCCACGTGTCCCTGCTGCAACGCACCTCAATAAAATTGGTAGGTCATTAGCAAGACCCTAGCAAGACACTATAGACCTCTCTAAAGTACCAAGAACATGTAAATCAGTGCCAGTGGAGCAGCTTGAGAACAAACAAAGTGGTAGGCCATCACTTCTGCCACTGAAGCCGCAGAAAGAGCCTGCAGGTAGATTTGGATCAAAAGGATGGGTCCTCACTTCATGACCTCAGGAAACATCACTGATGATGTGTCCCCTGTGTATGCATCTACACCTCACTTCATGACCTCAGGAAACATCACTGATGATGTGTCCCCTGTGTATGAATCTACAAACCGCTTCTCCGTCATTTTGGATGTGTGACAATCCAGGATCAAGTGAATGAGACCCAAGTCACACAGACCTAGAAACTATTCTATGGCAATCATCTGTTGTGAGGGAAAATGAGTATTCCCCACATGTTTGGCAAAAATATCTGCATAATACCCACAATTTAAATGGAAATGAGAGACTTGTCCGCGAATACTGTCCAGCTATTCTTCAACCAATCGTGGAACAGACACAAAATGGAAAATAGGGTCCCCTTCTAAGTAAAAGTTACCCCTTTTTTAAATATAGTGGCTGCAGTTCTGACAAACAACTTTTATTTTGAAGGCAAACGTTCCCCATTTCTGGTTGAAAATTATGCACTACTGAGTATTCGCAGGCAACAAGGAAAACTACAGAGAACTGTAGCAACCAGAGCAAAACATGAGGAGCTTTTTGTATCAGCCACACTATAAATGTGGCCAACCTTTCCTCCAGTTGCTGAACAGAAACCACACCCCACAAACACCATCTGAACCCAAACTATTTAGTGCATCTTAGTGCATAAAGTGCATCAAGTGACGAAACGTTTCTCCCACTGAAAACGCTTCGTCCAGATGAACAGAATCAACTTTTGGAGATTTATTTACCTGGATGAATGAGCATGCATGAAAACGTCAAGCATATTTACCTGCTAAAATAAAACCTGCACAACATTTTAAAGAGCTGTTTTCAGGAGCAGTGATCACAGTAGCAATGTCAGTAGCACTAAAGTGAGAAGCTGAAGAATTTTCAGCAGTACCTCCAGCTGCGTGCAGGCGCCCAGCTCTTCAGGAACCTCTTTAAGTCTGTTTCTGTAGGCAAATAAAACTCGGAGTTTCCTCAGCTGACCGATCTCTGGTGGCAAATTGCTCAGCTGCACACACACAACACACAAATAACACCAGGAACAAGCATCTTACCATAAATATAAGGAAACAGATATAAGAGAAACCATTCCAGGAAAATAAAGTGAAAGATGTTAGAATTCAACTCTTCACAAAGTGCCCTGAAATCCAGATTGAAATATAGAATAATTATAGACACAGGGTGTCACGGTTCTGGGTCAGTTTGACCCAGTATTTTGAGTTGTTATGTTTTGGTGTGTTTTTGCATTTTGGATTCTTTTCTTATTATGATGATAATGATGATTATGACTCTATGTTTCAGTTATTCTTGTTTAGGGATTAGTCCGTAGGTTTTGTGTTCTCATGCTTATTGCAGGTTTAGTTCAGTGTCTAGTCTGTCTCTCAGTGTCGTGTCTGCGTCTTTGTTTAGTGGTGTCTTGTTTCCTGTTTTACTCTGAAGGTTCATGTTCCTGTCTTATGTCAGTGTTTCTAGCTTTGTTCCCCCTGTCTCATTAGGTCTTATTCCTCCCAGCTGTGTTCCCCTTCTGTCTCTAATTCCTTGATGACTTCCTCAGTGTTTTTAAGCCCAGTGTGTCTTCGTGTCAGTGTCGTGTTGTCTGTTAACATTCCTGTCATTCTAGCTACACGTCATGAGTCATAGTTTTTCAGTCTCTGTTCTGGTCATGTTCATAGTAATCTGCTCCTGTCATGTTCTCATAGCCTTTCATGTACCAGTCCAGAAGACTGTCTTTTGCTTTTTCATGTCATGTGCGTACCTCTTAGTTACAGTCCAAGTCAGTCTTAGTTTTTCTTAGTCTTTAGTTGTTTCCCAGTTTAGGCCCTTTGTTTAAGTCATTGCCATAGTTTATGTTTGGTTCTTTTTGCTTTACTGTTTACCGGCCCTAATAAAGGCTCACTTTAAGTTCAGTAAACGTTTTGCCTCCTTCGTCTGTGTCCGCACCTGGGTCCTCCAAACACCCTCCTCACGGTCTGCCCTCGCAGACCGTGACACAGGGAAAATAAAACTCTGAATAAGAGACTTTATCAAGTGTTGAGGGCTGAAAATTTCCTGTTTACAAAACATTTCACAAACAGGCTTAGCTCACAGGTTAAGCAAGGCTAACAGCATATGACAGAAACAGCCTGCCATGCATGCTGGCACTACTCAGGGCTCATTATGCTGCTGAAGGTTGAAGGAGGGTGGAGGCAGAAACTGGATCCTGGTAGATTTCAGTGGGGATTAGAACTTTTATTTATCCAGGACACTGAGCAGCTGCACAGGAGGAGGAGGCAGAAAGAGGGATTGAAGGAGGTCAGTACCTCACTCGTAGGTACATTACATGACTTTTACTTTAAATTAAACACATGAACATCAATATGCTCTCACTGGTGAGCTCGTGAAAACACCTGGATAACACCTCCTGTTACTGAATAAAAGACTTGGATGTTTATCAGGCTTCAGCAAGAGACTCTCATGGTCCATCATGGGAACTGTAGGATCTAGTGTTTGTGGAATAGTATGCCTGTCCTCTCCCCTGCAACACCTGTTCTCTAATAAGATGATATAATTTCATGGAAGAGCTGTTTTTAAAATCACCGCATTAAACGGTTTAACAGGGTTCATGAGTGTTTCCTTAGTTTTTTTGTACAATAAAGGGTTACAGTTGATCAACATGAGGGATAAATATCTATGTGTGTGTCGTGTTACATGAGTGTTTTCTTGTGTAACTTTGTATTTGCTTTCATTTCCATCCTCATATGTTCTACCATAAAATAAACATCTGGTTTATAAAAATTTTAGCGTCAAACATTTGAATTATTCTGTAACCATGTGGGATTCAGTCTTTGAATGAATCCTGACAAACTCCTGCGATGTCATATGTTTAAACTAAAATGGTTCAGTGGAGGAGGAATGTCAGGTATCAGGTGTGTTTACCTGGTTACCCCACAGATTGAGGACCACCAGGTTAGACAGCAGAGCCAGCTGAGAAGGAAGAACAGTCAGGCTGTTGAGAGACAAATTCAGCTTGTCCAACTCCAACAACTCCCACAGTTCATCTGGAACCTCCTGTAGAGTGAAACAGAAAAGGAAGCTGCTGCTTTTCACTCAGAATTCACCACACAGCTGGAAAAGTTCTCACAGCACTGTTCTTTAGTGTACATATTTAATTTTTTTACATCACAAAAGACAGAAAATGCAGCTGACATGTGGAAAGCCTGATGTTTGAATGCTCCTAAATGTTGCTCGATAAAACAGGTTAATCATTTAAAATAATAATTAATATTTCAACCAGTTACCAATAACATGGCCTAAATGTGTCACAGCCAGGCGGATCAGCTCCACGCTGATCAGCCCTCTCTGTTTCTCTCCCTCTCTTCCTCTTCTCTCTCACCGGGGCGGAACTCACTGTGGGTTCACGCCCTCGGCCCACGCCCTCGGGAGATGAGACACCTGGGTCT